CACCCCAAAATCCATCTAAACCACCCCAAATCACCCCAAAATCCCCCAAATCCCCCAAAATACCCCTAAATCCAACCCCAATCCACATCAAATCCCCCCCAAATCACCCCAAAATCCACCCCTAAATCTACCCCTAATCACCCCAATATCCACCCCCAATCCACCCCAAATCACCCCTAAATCAAAATCAACCCCTAAATCTACCCCTAATCCCCCCAAAAACCCCCCCCAATCCACCCCAAATCACCCCTAAATCCACCCAAATCCCCCCAAAATCCACCCAAATCCACCCCAATCATCCCAAAATCCCCCCAAAATCCCCTCAAAATCCACCCCAATCTACCCAAATCACCCCAAAATCCCTGAGGACCCCAGGGGTGCACAGGGGACACAGAGCCGGGGTCCCTGGGGTGCCACCCCCTCCCTTGTCCCCCCGTGTCCCCCGTGTCCCCTCACCGGGCAGGCACTGGGTCATGATGGTGAAACCGATCCAGGAGCCGACCTGGGGGGACAAACGGGGGGGTTGCGGGTGGGGTACGGGATCTTCTGTGCCTTGGAGCCTGTGGGAACAGGGACAGTGACACGGGGACAGTGACAGTGACAGTGACACGGGGACACGGGAACACAGGGACACTCGGACACCGGGACACAGTGATACAGTGACACAGGGACATGGGGACAGTGACACAGGGACACGGGCACATGGGGACACAGGGACACAGGGACACAGGGACACGGGGACAGTGACACAGGGACACAGGGACATGGGGACACAGTGACACAGGGACACATCAGTGACACATGGGGACACAGGGACACGGGGACACAGTGACACAGAGACATGGGGACACCAGTGACAGTGACACAGGGACACGGGGACAGTGACACAGGGACACAGGGACATGGGGACAGCAACACAGTGACACAGGGGCACCCCCAGACATGGGGACACATCAGTGATACTGTGACACAGTGACACATGGGGACATAGTGACATGGGGACAGTGAGACAGGGACACTGGGACAGTGACACAGGGGCACCCCCAGACATGGGGACACATCAGTGACACTGTGACACAGGGACACAGGGACATGGGGACAGTGTCACAGGGACACAGTGACACAGGGACAGTGACACAGGGACATGGGGGGACATCAGTGACACATGGGGACACACACGGGTGGCACGGGGACACATCAGTGACACTCCCGGACATGGGGGACACCGCTGACACACCGGTGACATCCCGTGGGACACAGGGACACAGCGGGGACAGGAGGGGACACTGGTGACACACGGGGACACGGGAACACACGGGGACACCAGTGACATAGACACGGGGGGGACAAAGGGACACTGGTGACACACGGGGACACAGGGACACGGGATGACACCGGTGACACCCCCAGACACGGGGACACACAGGTGACACCCCCAGGACACGTGTCACCCCCCAGGCCACCCCCCGGACAGGTGCCACCCTCCGTGTCCCCTCCTGTCCCCACCGTGTCCCTGCCAGCCCCCGGCTGCTCCCTCGTGTCCTTGTGGCCTCTGCACCGTCGTGTCCCCAGTGTCCCCAACGTCCCCAATCCCCCAATGTCCCCCGTGTCCCCAATATCCCATGTGTCCTCTGTGTCCCTGATGTCCCCCCATGTCCCCCTGTGTCCCCAGTGTCCCCTCATGTCCTCAGTGTCCCCCCAATGTCCTCAATGTCCCCCATGTCCTTGATGTCCCTGATGTCCCCAGTGTCCCTAATGTCCCCAATCCCCCCGATGTCCCTCGTGTCCCCAATATCCCATGTGTCCTCTGTGTCACTGGTGTCCCCCATGTCCCCTTAATATTTAGTAGTTCCAAGTACTAATACTTAGTATTTCCAATATTTATCCATTCCCTCAATTAACAGCACCCATTCCCTAAATTAACAGCACCCATTCCCTAAATTAACACCCTCAATTAACAGCACTCATTCCCTTGATTAACAGCACCCATTCCCTCAATTAACAAACAGCACCCATTTCGTCGACTAACAGTGCCCATTCCCTGGATTAACTCCCTCAATTAACAGCACCCATTCCCTAAATTAACAGCACCCTTTCCCTAAATTAACATAATTAACAAACAGCACCCATTCCCTCAATTAACAAACAGCACCCATTCCCTCAATTAACAAACAGCACCCATTCCCTCAATTAATTAACAGCACCCATCCCCTCAATTAACAAACAGCACCCATTTCCTCGACTAACAGTGCCCATTCCCTCAATTAGCAGCACCCATCCCCTAAATTAACAAACAGCACCCATTCCCTCAATTAATTAACAGCACCCATCCCCTCAATTAACAGCCCCCATCCCTCTCTTCTCCCACAGAAAATCCAGCAGCTCTCCGAGGGCTCCATGTTCAGCCACGGCCTCAAGCACCTTTTCCACAGCCGCCGGCGCTCGCGGGAGCGCGAGCAGCCGAGCTCGCAGGACCCGGGGCCCCCGGGGCCGCCCGCAGCCCCCCACGGCGCCTCTGACCACGAGTCCCCGGACGAGAAGGAGCGTTCCCCGGAGATGCACCGCGTGTCCTACGCCGTGTCCCTGCACGACCTCCCCGCCCGGCCCACCGCCTTCAACCCCCAATCCCCCCGATGTCCCTCGTGTCCCCAATATCCCATGTGTCCTCTGTGTCACTGGTGTCCCCCATGTCCCCCTGTGTCCCCAATGTCCCCTCATGTCCCCAGTATCCCAAATCCCCCTGATGTCCCCAGTGTCCCCCATGTCCTCGATGTCCCTAATCCCCCAATTGTCCCCATTGTCCCCAATGTCCCCGTGTCTCCCTGATGTCCCCACTGCCCCCAATGTCCCCAGTGTCCCCTGCTGTCCCCAATGTCCCCACTACTCTCAATGTCTCCAGTGTCCCCAATGTCCCCTCCCCCAGCCCCCCGTGTCCCCCCCTGTCTCCCAGGACCCACCAGGAACACGGCCAGCGCCAGCTTCACCTGCTCGTCACCGTAGGCTGGGGGGACAGCGGGGTCAGGGACAGGGACAGAGGGGACAGGGATGGGGATGGGGACAGGGATGGGGACAGGGACGGGGACAGAGGGGACAGGGACAGGGACAGAGGGGACAGAGGGGACAGAGGGGACAGGGACAGGGATGGGGACAGGGACAGGGACAGCGAGGTCAGGGACAGGGACAAGGACAGGGACAGGGATGGGGACAGGGATGGGGACAGGGACAGGGGTGGGGACAGGGACAGGGACGGGGACAGGGACAGGGAGGGGACAGCGGGGTCAGGGACAGGGACGGGACAGAGGGGACAGGGACAGCTGGGGACAGGGATGGGGACAGAGGGGACAGGGACAGCTGGGGACAGGGATGGGGACAGAGGGGACAGGGACAGCTGGGGACAGGGATGGGGACAGAGGGGACAGGGACAGCTGGGGACAGGGATGGGGACAGAGGGGACAGGGACAGCTGGGGACAGGGATGGGGACAGAGGGGACAGGGACAGCTGGGGACAGGGATGGGGACAGAGGGGACAGGGACAGCTGGGGACAGGGATGGGGACAGAGGGGACAGGGACAGCTGGGGACAGGGATGGGGACAGAGGGGACAGGGACAGCTGGGGACAGGGATGGGGACAGAGGGGACAGGGACAGCTGGGGACAGGGATGGGGACAGAGGGGACAGGGACAGCTGGGGACAGGGATGGGGACAGAGGGGACAGGGACAGCTGGGGACAGGGATGGGGACAGAGGGGACAGGGACAGCTGGGGACAGGGATGGGGACAGAGGGGACAGGGACAGCTGGGGACAGGGATGGGGACAGAGGGGACAGGGACAGCTGGGGACAGGGATGGGGACAGAGGGGACAGGGACAGCTGGGGACAGGGATGGGGACAGAGGGGACAGGGACAGCTGGGGACAGGGATGGGGACAGAGGGGACAGGGACAGCTGGGGACAGGGATGGGGACAGAGGGGACAGGGACAGCTGGGGACAGGGATGGGGACAGAGGGGACAGGGACAGCTGGGGACAGGGATGGGGACAGAGGGGACAGGGACAGCTGGGGACAGGGATGGGGACAGAGGGGACAGGGACAGCTGGGGACAGGGATGGGGACAGAGGGGACAGGGACAGCTGGGGACAGGGATGGGGACAGAGGGGACAGGGACAGCTGGGGACAGGGATGGGGACAGAGGGGACAGGGACAGCTGGGGACAGGGATGGGGACAGAGGGGACAGGGACAGCTGGGGACAGGGATGGGGACAGAGGGGACAGGGACAGCTGGGGACAGGGATGGGGACAGAGGGGACAGGGACAGCTGGGGACAGGGATGGGGACAGAGGGGACAGGGACAGCTGGGGACAGGGATGGGGACAGAGGGGACAGGGACAGCTGAGGGAGGGGACAGGGACAGAGGGGACAGGGACAGCTGGGGACAGGGATGGGGACAGGGACAGGGACAGAGGGGACAGGGACGGGGACAGAGGGGACAGGGACAGGGATGGGGACAGGGACAGGGACAGAGGGGACAGGGACAGGGACAGGGACGGGGACAGAGGGGAGGGGACAGGGACGACAGAGGGGACAGGGATGGGGACAGGGACAGAGGGGACAGGGACAGGGACAGAGGGGACAGGGACAGGGATGGGGACAGGGATAGGGACAGAGGAGACAGGCATGGGGACAGGGACAGAGGGGACAAGGACACCCCCACTGTCCCCTCCTGCTGGGGACACGGGGGTGGCAGGGACAGGGACAGTCACACCCCCTGCGTGTCCCCTGGAGGCACAGGGGGACAAGGGGACACGGTGATGGGGACTGTGGGGACACAGAGGGGACAGGGACAGGTGACAGTGACAGTGACAGCGACAGTGACAGGGACAGGTGACAAGAGACCCTCGTGGGGGCGTGAGCAGAGAGGAGTGATGGGGACACTGGGGACACAGAGGGGACAGGGACAGTGACAGTGACAATGACAGTGACAGGGACAGTGACAGTGACACTCACCTGGCGGGGTGTACAGCGGGTGGTTGATGTAATACGCCATCCAGGCCGCGAAGCCCCAGTAGTAGGTGCAGTTCTGGGGACATTGGGGACACGTTGGGGACACGCTGGGGACACGTTGGGGACACACTGGGGACACGTTGGGGACACGCTGGGGACATGCTGGGGACACGCTGGGGACGCAGCAGTGGCAGGCAGGGGACACCTGGGGACAGCCAGGTGTGCGGTGCTGCCACGGAGGGGACACGGGCAGGTGACCCAGGTGACAGTGACACCTGGACGATGTCACACGGGATCGGGGCTGGGCGGGGACAGGGGGTGGCAGAAGTGACACAGGGGGACACGGGCAGGTGACCCAGGTGACAGTGACACCTCAGAGATGTGTCAGAAGTGGTGGGGACAGGGACAGGGAGGGGACAGGGACAGGGAGGGGACAGGGCCATGCCTGGAGCACTGGGGCACGGTGACACAGGTGGTGCAGGTGACAGGGGTGTGACACACAGGTGGCACAGGTGCTGCCGGGGCAGTGACACAGGCGTCACACAGGTGGCACACAGGTGGCAGTGTCACCTTGAAGATGTTGCGCGGGGCGTGGTGCCGTGTGAGAAGGGATGGGGACAGGGAGGGGACAGGGAGGGGACAGGGAGGGGACAGGGCGGTGCTGGGCACTGGGGCAATGGCGGGGCAGTGACACAGGTGACACACAGGTGACAGGGGGGTGTCACAGGTGTCACCTTGAAGATGCACAGGGCCATGGTGCCATGCGAGAAGGGATGGGGACAGGGAGGGGACAGGGAGGGGACAGGGTGGTGACACAGGTGCCGGGGCAGTGCCAGGGGTGTGACACAGGTGACAGAGGTGGCGCACAGGTGACAGAGGAGGCACACAGGTGGCACAGGTGTCACACCTTGAAGATGTTGTGCAGGGGCATGGTGCCGTGCGAGAAGGGATGGGGACAGGGAGGGGACAGAGCGGTGCTGGGGCAGTGACAGAGGTGACAGAAGTGGCACACAGGTGACAGAGGTGACACACAGGTGTCACAGGTGTCACCTTGAAGATGCACAGGGCCATGGTGCCATGCGAGAAGCGCTGGGGACAGGGAGGGGACAGGGCGGTGCCTGGGTGCTGGGGCAGTGCTGGGGATGTGACACAGGTGGCACACAGGTGACACAGGTGACACACAGGTGTCACACCTTGAAGATGTTGCGCAGGGGCATGGTGCCGTGCGAGAAGGGATGGGGACAGCGAGGGGACAGGGAGGGACAGGGTGGTGCCGGGGCGGTGCTGGGGCAGTGACACAGGTGACAGAAGTGGCACACAGGTGACAGAGGTGGCACACAGGTGACAGGGGTGGCACACAGGTGGCACAGGTGTCACACCTTGAAGATGTTGCGCAGGGGCATGGTGCCGTGCGAGAAGCGGTGCACGAAGAGCGTCTCCAGCAGCCGCTTGACGTAGTGGAACGAGTGACAGCAGCACGCCAGGCTGGGGACAGGGACATCGGGGACATTGGGGACATCGGGGACATTGGGACACACCTGGGACACCTCCCCCCTGTCCCCAGCACCCCGCCGGTGTCTCCACGATGTCCCCTGCAATCCTCCATTGTCCCCAACATCCCCGATGTCCCCAGTCCCCCTGTTGCCCCCAGTGTCCCCAAGATGTCCTCGATGCCCCCCCAGTGTCCCCACGGTGTCCCCAGTGTCCTCAACATCCCCAACATCCCCTTGTCCCCAGTGTCCTCCCAATGTCCCTGCTGTCCCCACTGTCCCCAATCCCCGTGATGTCCCCAGTGTCCCCAAGGTGTCCCACTGTCCTCAACATCCCCAAGTGTCCCCAATGTCCCCCCAGTGTCCCCATGTCCCCAATCTCTCCAATGTCCCCAATGTCCCAAACATTCCCAATGTCCCCCCATTGTCCCCGATGTCCCCCTGGTGTCTCATTGGACCACGCGGTGCTGGCTGGCAGTGACTGTCCCCAGTGTCCCCCCAATGTCCCCAATGTCCCCAATCCCCCTGATGTCCCCAATCCCCTCAATGTCTCCATTGTCCCCAAAGTCCCCCCAATGTTCTGGATGTCCCCATTGTCCCCATTGTTCCTCAGTGCCCCCAGTGTCCCCAGTCTCTCACTGGACCACACGGCGCCGGCTGGCGGTGACTGTCCCAATGTCCCCAATGTCCCCCCATTGTCCACCCGGTGTCCCCAGTGTCCCCACTGTCCCCAGTGTCTCCCTGGTGTCCCCAGTGTCCCCCCAGTGGACAGGGACAGTGACAGTGACAGTGACAGTGACAGTGACAGGGACAGTGACAGTGACACTCACCTGGCGGGGTGTACAGCGGGTGGTTGATGTAATACGCCATCCAGGCCGCGAAGCCCCAGTAGTAGGTGCAGTTCTGGGGACATTGGGGACACGTTGGGGACACGTTGGGGACACGCTGGGGACGCAGCAGTGGCAGGCAGGGGACACCTGGGGACAGCCAGGTGTGCGGTGCTGCCACGGAGGGGACACGGGCAGGTGACCCAGGTGACAGTGACACCTGGACGATGTCACACGGGATCGGGGCTGGGCGGGGACAGGGGGTGGCAGAAGTGACACAGGGGGACACGGGCAGGTGACCCAGGTGACAGTGACACCTCAGAGATGTGTCAGAAGTGGTGGGGACAGGGACAGGGAGGGGACAGGGACAGGGAGGGGACAGGGCCATGCCTGGAGCACTGGGGCACGGTGACACAGGTGGTGCAGGTGACAGGGGTGTGACACACAGGTGGCACAGGTGCTGCCGGGGCAGTGACACAGGCGTCACACAGGTGGCACACAGGTGGCAGTGTCACCTTGAAGATGTTGCGCGGGGCGTGGTGCCGTGTGAGAAGGGATGGGGACAGGGAGGGGACAGGGAGGGGACAGGGAGGGGACAGGGCGGTGCTGGGCACTGGGGCAATGGCGGGGCAGTGACACAGGTGACACACAGGTGACTTGTCCCCCCGGTGTCCCCAGTGTCCCCCCGGTGTCTCACTGGACCACGCGGTGCCGGCTGGCGGTGAAGTCGTAGCGGGGCCCGTACAGGAACGGCACCCGGAAATAGAACAGCAGGTAAATGAGGAGGGGGCCCGCGTACTCCGTCAGGAACACCTGCACAGGTGAGGGGACAGTCAGGGACAGGTGAGAGGGGACAGGGACACCTGGGACAGGTGACAGGGGACAGTCAGGGACAGGTGACAGGGGACAGGGACACCTGGGACAGGTGAGGGACAGGTAAATGAGGAGAGGGCCCGCGTACTCTGTCGGGAACACCTGGGACAGGTGACAGGGGACAGTCAGGGACACCTGGGACAGGTGACAGGTGAGGGACACCTGGGACAGGTGACAGGTGAGGGACACCTGGGACAGGTGAGGGGACAGGGACAGGAGACAGTCAGGGACACCTGCACAGGTGAACACAGGGGACATGGGACAGCCAGGAGCGGGGACAGAAAGGGACAGACGGACACAGAAACACAGGTGTGACACAGGTGTGACACAGGTGTGACACACAAGTGACACACAAAGGTGACACAGGAGGTGACACAAGGGGTTACACAGGTGACGCACAGGTGACACAGGAGATTACACAGGTGTGACACAGGTGACACAGGGGGTGACACAGGTGACACCCAGGTGACACGGGGTGACACAGGTGACACCCAGGTGACACCCAGGTGACACAGGGGGTGACACAGGTGACACACAGGTGACACACAGGTGACACAGGTGACACAGGGAGTGACACAGGTGACACACAGGTGTGACACAGGGGGTGACACAGGTGCCAGCCAGGTGACACAGGGGGTGACACAGGTGACACCCAGGTCACACGGGGTGACACAGGTGACACAGGGGGTGACACAGGTGACACCCAGGTGACACGGGGTGACACAGGTGACACCCAGGTGACACGGGGTGACACAGGTGACACCCAGGTGACACCCAGGTGACACAGGGGGTGACACAGGTGACACACAGGTGACACCCAGGTGACCCTGGAGACACCTGGACACACCTGGACGCACATGGAGACACATGGACACACCTGGGCACACATGGAGACACCTGGAGACACCTGGAAACTCCTGGAGACACCTGGACACACCTGGACGCACATGGAGACACCTGGACACACATGGAGACACATGGACACACATAGAGACACCTGGGACAGACCTGGATGGACCTGGGCACACCTGGACACACCTGGGACAGCATCTGGACACACCTGGACACACCTGAAACAACACCTGAAACAACACCTGGACACACCTGAACACACCTGGGACAGCACCTGGACACAGCTGGACACAGCTGGACACACCTGGAGACAGCTGGGACAGCACCTGGACACACCTTCATACACCTGGACACACCTGGACATGCCTGAAACAACACCTGGACACACCTGAGCACACCTGAGGCAGCACCTGGACACACCTGGACACACCTGGACATGACTGAAACAACACCTGGACACACCTGAGCACACCTGAGGCAGCACCTGAACACGCCTGGACACACTTGGACACAGCTGGACGCAGCTGGGCACCCCTGGGACACCCTGGGACACCCCTGGGACACCTGGGGACACCCCTGGGACACCCCTGGGACACCTGGGGACATCCTGGGGACACCCCTGGGACACCCCTGGGACACCTGGGGACATCCCTGGGACACCCCTGGGACACCCCTGGGACACCCCTGGGACACCTGGGCACACCTGGGGACATCCCTGGGGACACCTGGGGACATCCCTGGGACACCCCTGGGACACCTGGCACACCTGGGCACACCTGGGGACACCTGGGGACATCCCTGGGGACACTGGGGACATCCCTGAGGGATACCTGGGGCACCGGGGACATCCCCACAGGACACCTGGGGACACCTGGGGACAGCTAGGGACAGCTGGGGACACCTGAGCACATCCCTGGGGACACGTGGGGATACCCCTGGGGACACCTGGGGACAGCTGGGGACATCCCTGGGGATGGCTGGGGACACTTGGGGACACTTGGGGACAGCTGGGGACACCCAGGGACAGCTGGGGACAGCTGGGGACAGCCATCCGCGGTGGCACTCACTGGGGTCCAGGCGCAGGGACTGCCTCGCCGGGTACCACTGGGGATCTGTGGGACAGAGGGACAGCGGGTGGCACCGGGGGACAGTGGGTGGCACCGAGGGGACAGCGGGTGGCACCGGGGGACAGCGGGGGTGGCACTGGGGGACAGCGGGTGGCACCGAGGGGACAGCGGGGGTGGCACTGGGGGGACAGAAATGGTGGCACCAGGGGACAGAAATGGTGGCTCTGGAGGAACAGTGGGTGGCACTGGGGGACAGCGGGGCTGGCACCAGGGGACAGTGGGGGTGGCACTGGGGGGACAGCAATGGTGGCACCGAGGGGACAGTGATGGTGGCACTGCGGGAACACAGCCCCCATGGGGACAGAGATGGTGGCACTGCAGTGACACAGCCCCCATGGGGACAGTGGCACTGTGGGGACAGCGGTGGTGGCACTGCAGGGACAGTGACGGTGGCACTGCGGGGACACAGCCCCCATGGGGACAGCCAAGGAGGACAGGGCTGGTCTCTGGTGACAACGGTGACCGTGGTGGCCCTGGGACAAGTCCTGGGCCATGACAGAGGTCCCCATGGCCAGTGACGGAGTGACACGTCCCCATGGCCCGGTGACATGTCCCCATGGCCAGTGACATGTCCCCATGGCCTGGCGACACGTCCCCATGGTCAGTGACATGTCCCCATGGCCAGTGACACGGTGACATGTCCCCATGGCCCGGTGACACGTCCCCATGGCCAGTGACATGTCCCCATGGCCAGTGACACGGTGACACGTCCCCATGGCCAGTGACTTGTCCCCATGGCCCGGTGACACGTCCCCATGGCTCAGTGACATGTCCCCATGGCTCAGTGACACGTCCCCATGGCCAGTGACAAGTCCCAGCCACACTGAGGGTTCCCACGGCCCTGGGGGTTCCCATCTTTGTCCCTGTCCCCACCCTGCTGTCCCTGTCCCCAAGTCCCCTGTCCCCCTTGTATCTGTCCTCTGTCCCCCTGTCCCCTCCCTGTCCCCCTGTCCTTGTCCCCTGTCCCTGTCCCGTCCCCTGTCCCATGTCCCCACCCCTGTCCCCATGTCCCCATGTCCCTGTCCCCACTCACGGCTCTTGCTGAACAGGTTTTTGATGTCGGCCACCGTGGCCTGAGGCTCCACCTGGGGACAGCGATGGCACTCAGGGGACACGGGGACAGCGCTGGGCCACCCGTGTCCCCTCCCGGGTCACCCGTGTCCCCTCCCGGGCTGTCCCCATGTCCCTTCCCGGGTCACCCGTGTTCCCTCCCGGGCTGTCCCTGTGTCCCCTCAGGTACTGTCCCCATGTCCCCCCACTCTCTCCCCGTGTCCCCCCATGTCCCCCTTGTCGCGGGGAGCCACCGCCACCGCCAGCGCCATGGCGCGACACCCGATCGGGCCCGCCGCCGCTAAATATAGCCCGGCCCGCGGTGGCCCCGCGGTGGCCCCGTGGTGGCCCCGTGGTGGCACTGGGGGGGGCCTTGGAGGTGGCCCCGGGGGTGGTCCCAGGGGTGGCACTGGAGGTGGCCCGGGGTGGCACTGGGGGTGGCCCCGTGGTGGCCCTGGGGGTGGCCCGGGGTGGCACTGGAGGTGGCTCGCGGGTGGTACTGGGGGTAGCACTGCGGTGGCATTGGGGGTGGCCTTGGAGGTGGCCCGGGGGTGGCCCCGTGGTGGCATTGGGGGTGGCCCCGTGGTGGCACTGGAGGTGGCCCGGGGTGGCACTGGAGGTGGCTCTGGGGTGGCCCCGTGGTGGCACTAGGTTGGCCTGGGGTGGCACTGGGGGTGGCCCGGGGGTGGTCCCAGGGGTGGCCCTGGAGGTGGCCCGGGTGTGGCCACCGGAGGGACAGTGTCACCCGGCGGGGACAGGGCAGGACAGGACAGGAGGTGAGGCCGCACCCCCCCAGTGTCCCCGCGAGCCCCGGTGGCCCGAGGTGGGGACAGAGTGGCCGCGGCCATGTGGCCCCTGTCACCGGCGGGGGGTGACGTCACTCGGGGACAGCGGGACCGGTCTGTCACCCCCGGGGGGGGAGGGGACACTGGGGAGGGTGGCACTGCCACGGGGGGAGGGGACACTGGGGAGGGTGGCACTGCCACGGGGGGAGGTGACAGCTCCGTGGGCTACCGGGGCCGTGCCCAAGGAGCCACCCCGGGCACGGTGACAGTGTTGGTGACGGTGGCGGTGACAGTCACGGTGACAGTGGCGCTCGGGGGGTGACAGCGGGGTCCTCCCGGGGTCACCGCGGTGCCTCAGGGCCCTGCTGCGACCGCGGGGCCCGCCCGGGACCCTCCGTGACCTTCCAGAACCTTCCGGGACCCTCCGGGACCACCGAGAGCCCCGGGAGCCCAAGCCCCGCCCCTTCCCTTAGGCCCCGCCTCCTTCCCCAGAGGCCCCGCCCCAAACTCCGCCCCGTCACCCTCAGCCGTCGTGCCTTGACGCGCATGCGCACGGCGCGACCCGTCGCGCATGCGCTCGGCGCGTCCCGGTTGCCCCGGGGCGGAACGCGCGGGTTCCGCGAGGCCGCCGCGATGGCGCCGTGCGGAGCCGGCGGCGCCGGACGCTCGGGGCCGCTGCGGTGGCGGTGGCCGGGCCGGGCCGCGGGCAGCGCGGCCGCCTCACCTCGTAGTGCTTCATGGCTGCTGCGCTCCGCCGCTCCCGCCGCCCCCGCCGCCCACACGTGACCCGCCCCTCAGGCCCGTGGGGGGGCGGGGCCTGCGGCGCGGCCAATCGGCGTCGCTCGCGTGGCTCGGCGCGGCCAATCAGAACGCGGCAGCTCCGCCCGCGCGCTCGCCCCTTCCCGCCGCGCCGGTTGCCGGGGCAACGTGAACGCCCGAGGGCGCCTCCGCCAATGGGAGGCGGGGGCGGGGCCAGGAGTGACGGCCAGGACAGCCAATGGGAGCTCGCCGGGGGCGGGGCTGTGCGTGGAGTGATGGTCGGATCAGCCAATGGGCTCACGGTAGGGGCGGGGGCAAGCACCGCCTGGGCCCT